GTTTGGTCATCCACAGATAGTGGACCAAACGGGTCTACCCCTTTCACTCAAAGGGAGCTCCAAATGGAAACACTGGGTCAGGAAAGGAATATTCAAAGTTGGGGACCTATGGTATGACCTTGCTCACTCATGGTACCCACTGGAATGTCTCAAGGCCAAAACCGGTCAGATCCTAAACATGGCCCAGGGATTACAAGAAATCCAGGAATCGATCCCTTTGGCATGGCCCCGTGTCTTGAAACAGGGCCCCCCCCTAGAGGAGGATGATTGGGTGGTGGAGACAGAAACCATGGTTCTACCCATGCTTTTGTATAAAGCACAGAATACAGAGGGCCTGCTGGTATCTCTTCAGGCATATGGCCCGACCCTGCCAGGAGCCAGATGGTCAGCCATGCAACGACAAGAGGAGATGGATACACAACTACCTGCATCCTCCCTTACCAGAATCAGGGTGGTGGGAAGCCAACACACCGCCTTTTTCCAGTTCAAGTCCTCCACCCCGCTGACCCTTCTCCCGTTCGACCCAACAGAATGGGAGTGGACATGGGGGGGATCTCAAAAAATGTCCCTGTGGCAATATACAGTGAAGAAAGGCTATAGAGCAGCACGAAAACCAGCTGCAACTACTGACAAAATCATTAAGAGGTGGGTGAGGGACTCCCCGTTGGCCCGTTGGGGCCACAGGACTTCGGACACTTTAGGTGGTGTGCATACTCGCACATGCGTCCGACTAGCCACAGAGCCCTTCAATGGCAAATCATACACAGATGCCTGCCTACCCCGGATTGGATCACATCACGGACTGACCTGGAGGAAAAAGGTCCGCTCTCCCCACTATGTTCATATTGCTCGCACACATTTCCCAACAAAAGAGCCACCCTGGAGCACTGCTTATTGGAATGCCCCATGGTGCTCCAACTGTGGAGATGGTGGGATGCAGCGTGGCAGTACCTCACAGGTCATCACCTCCCCTGGGAGGTGCCCACCCTATTACTAGGGACCCCCTCGACTGCATCCGGGATATGGACCCTGTTCATGACTAATCTCTTCACATTCTCAAGACTAACTGTGCTCATGGCAGCATGGAGGATGTGATGCTCCTATGAGAGAAAACAACATAACTATGGCTTTATGCAAGCCCGCTCAACGATATCAGACACGATCTCAGCCTACACTCAGGCTGCCTGGAAAGAACTGCACAATAACTTAGCCATTGAGCCTAACATTGACAAAAAACAAGGACTAAGAAACAGCTTTGCGGAGACATCGATTGATCCAAACCACAGACTCTGCACTCTCAATGATGATAACACCCTCACATGGCATCCCCGACTCCTTTCTGAGAGGCTATGGGAAAGGAGGCCTCCGCACCTGTCTCTTATACACATCTAGATGTGTATAAGAGACAGTATGAAGACCGACTACAGGAGGAAGTGCTCGAACATCTGAAATTGGATGTCCTACAGTGTTACCGACAACTGCTCAGTATTAGTCCCCAGAATAACCCGGTCAAATACAGCAAGAACCAAACAGTCTGCACCAACTACATTGCATTGCATTGAACTATCTAGTTAGCAACATACACACCCCATAAACGCACTCATGTAACAGTACTTAGGATCTGATAAAGTACTACGACTCACCACAACCATACTGCTGTCACCGCCTGACGGCAATTGCACATAGATATGGACAAGCATCATACTATACTTCTACAAACATACACTTCACACACAACACAGAGCACAAATTTGATAAATACTGCCACTGGCAAAATGCTGAGACTCAGAATAACAACACTAAGGCAGTTGTTACAAGCTCAGACAGACATAGACACATCTGTACTATATACCTGCAGAGAAACATGGCACACACTAGTACAACACACACTACATATGTTTGAAATTCCTATGACTTTTCTGAAACTCTGTAAATTCTGTAAATTGGGACGCTGGGCCCGTTTCCCAGCAAGTGATGCTCACCACCAATAGATGGAGCTTCCTCCGGACCAGCTTGAGGTGTCTGCTCCAACCAGCACCTCAAGCTGCCTCCGTGGATGGTTTGGTTAARAAAAAAAAAAAAAAAAAAAAAAGGAGAGAGTAAGAGAAGCACACTAAGTTTTACAATGCTGCAAATTATAATTTTCAATAAATAAATAAATAAATAAATAAATAAATAAGTAGATGAGGAGGTGAAGAAAAACTAAGTATTGGATTTTTCAAAAATTTCGGTGTATTTCGTTACCCCCATGGGGTCGAAATGTGTTGAAGAAGACTAAGTATGAAAAAAAAACAGAAAATTTTTGGCAGCACTTCGTTACCCCCACGGGATCAAAATGTGTGCCGAAAGCAAGAATGACTAAGGGGCTCGTTCGACACTCCTTGGGGCGTCCTCGGAGCCCGAGGAAAAATTCCTTTTAGTCAAAAGGAAATTTGGGCCCTTCATTCCACCTATCCTCAGAGACGCCCGAGGACGTTTCCTTGGAGCGATGTCAGAAAAAAAAAAAGGAAAAAAAAAAAAAAAGTGCTTAAGGCCTTCAGCCAATAGGGTGCCGCCACGATCCAGATTGTTGGTTGTAACGTCTCTCTACGCGTGTGCCCGCTCCTCTCCATGAAACGCGGATTCCTTTTGCCCAACGGACTTCGTGAGGTCCCTTGGGCAAAAGGGAGAAATGGTTGGGGAATCCTCGGAGCCCGAGGAATTTCCTTCGGAGTGTTTTCACTTTTTTTTTTTTTTGATTGCAACCCCGAGGATAAGTGGAACGAACAATTCCTCGGGGACTTAATGCGCCCGAGGAGTGTCGAACGAGCCCCTAAGTCGTGATCAGATTTGAGATTGCTGCCAAGAAATTCGAATTTTCAGAATAAACAAATAAATAATAAAATATAATAAATCAGAAAATGAGAAAAGAAGGTGGGAAATCAGATAATTCAAATTTTTGGAAAAAGAGGAGATTTAAATCAAAGAGAAATAAAAAAGAAGAAAAATAGAAAAATGCGAAGTTGGGGGGGAAGGGGATGAAAAAGTGATGAAGAAAGAGAGAAATACATGAGAGAGAGAGAAAGAGTGAAGTGGAAGATGGGGGAGATGATGGGGTTGTAGTTGGGGGGGGGAGAGGGAGAGTAGGGTGGTAGAATGAGAGAGAAGGATATGAAAAAGGTGGAGAGGAGTAGATGAGATTAGTAGAAGATGGTGAGTGGGGAGGAGAGGAGAGAAAAAAAGGTTGTGGAAGATGAGTGAAGAGGGAGGTAGGAGGAGGGGGTAGTGGCAGGGTTAGAGAGGATGATTAGATGATGGGGGGAGAGAGAAAACGGTTTGGGGGAGAGTAGGTTAGTGGGTAGGATGGTGATACCAAGCTCTTGGGTGGCCAAGAGCAGAGCACTACCAAGATCCACAGAATCTTGGCCTTCAAGAGGCTGCTAGCCTGATGTCACTGCAACAAAAAAAATATCTGAGGTGGACTGAGATCTTGATCAGCCACCTAGATGTCACTGTAGTGCAGCCCCCTAGCCAGGGGGGTCTTCAAGATCTAGAGCAAGCTGCCACGTGGCACTCCAGATAGGCACCAGATACCAGCCACATGTCGTGTCGTGGCAGGCGGCAGCACCCATGACCACTCAGAGGGGAGGGGGAG